CCCCGGTGGCGGGAGCCGGCCTTACCTGCCCTTGCATCGCTCAACCTGCAGGGGAAGGCCTCGGAGGCCAGGGATTTGCAAGCAGGGGGAGGGGAGGGGAAGAAAAGGCCTCTGATTTTCCTGGTCTGGGCTCCTCTCCCCTGGGGAGGGGCCCGGGGACTTCTGCTTGCCCCTGGGTTGAAGTCAGGATTAGAAGACAGCGCCGGGCCAGAGGTGTGTGCAGTTACTGAAGGCGTCCAGTGTTCCCCGCCAGGCCTGCAGTTCACAGGACCCCGGTGCCAGGAAAAGGGACACAATTAGAGTTCATTTCCCTTGGCCTTTTTTGGGAGGGTGGGGGAGGGGTTACCAACTTTTTTTCTTTTAAGGAAAAGCCCCTGGAAAAACCTGGGATTTTAACCGCTTTGTTGTTGCGAGGAACTCCTAGGCGAAGCCGGGGCTGGAGCTAATCAGGCTGAGCGCAAGAAGGCAGAGGACTCGGGGCAGACTGTTTGGTAGAAAGTCGGAGCTGGTATTTTGCACGTAAAGCCTGGTAGCCGGGCAGATCTGCTGCTGGGGCTGAAAGCTTGTGGCATTCACACAAGGGGGCTGGAGCCCAAACCAAAGTGCGAGCAAGAAATACTATCAGCCAGAGGATAAAACGAACAGTATTGCAGGAAGCCCGAGCACCCTTCGTATTCTTGGCTTTTAGGGGAACCCTTTGTCACTGGGAGTGTTTTGTGGGTTAGAGAATAAATTAATAAGCACAATTATACCCATCGAGTGACCTGGCCTATCTGTCTCTCCATCTCCCCATCCATTTTCCTGCGACCCTTTGCACTAGTGCAGCTGACTCTCGGGGGTTTCTGTGCTCACCGACTTCAGCTCCAAGATTTCTTTCTTTCTGTCCTTCCCCACATGTGCAGAAATTTTTTTTGCAAAAACCCAAGGCGTTCCAGTGGCATCCCTGCGCTGCCAAGAGACACTAACCGGGCAGGGACCGTTTAAAATTTAAGCTGGGGTGTCTCTTGGCTGTTTCCAAGTTTAAGGGCTCTGACTTCACAGGGTATAAGTATAGCTGAAAAATAAGGGATGGTGTGTCTGAATGTGGAATGGATCAAGAAGATAAATTGCATAAAATCAGAACCAGTCCAATCCCACACTTGCTATTTGTTATATAGAGAAGAAGTAAATGGAATTCACATGTCGAGTATTAACTGGTTGTTAGTCTGTAAGATAATATTAACTTTAGTGCTTTATGGTTTACTCCAGTTTTCCAAAGGCAGCTCCAGGACGGATCCAGCCTGTAATTTAGGATGGCACATACTGTGCGAATGAGGCTTTGGCACAAGGGCCTACCCAACACATCAAGGTGATATGAACATAATAAAACGTTTGGAGAGTGAGTAGGAGCTCATAAATTAATGCATTCTACTGTTTTAATGCGAGCGGCTAACAATGTGTTTCCTGTCTGGCTGATCGTCCCTGCCGCAGCCTCGCAGCTGTTTTAAAGGTGCTGTGAAATTAAAGAGAGGGAAGATGATTGTCTTTAAATCAATGCTTAATGATGTGTTATTATAAAGTCTTCCTCAAGCAGATGTTTACGTGTGAAGCCTACACGGGCCCAAGGACGGGGAGCTTCCCCAGGTGTACAAGGGCTCCGGGGGCCTGGCGGAAAAGCAGGGGAGTGGGTTTCCCAAGGGTGGCGGGGGGGGGAAACACCTTGGAGAGAAAGGCCGAGCGAGAACAGGCATTCTGGCAAATGTGATCCCGGCTCCTTCTGAGGGATACAGCCTCCTCAGTACGGCTTATTTGCTAAGAGCAGATCTGGTAGAGGCCGAGCCCTGCGCAGCGCTCTCTTTCTGGGACAAAGCAACACAGGAACCTTTCATTGGGACTGGAATGGACTTCCCAGGCTGCCGAGTCCAGGTCCCGGCTATCACAAGGGTCCACAAGAGCATCCCCTCTCCCGCACCAGAGCCAAAAAATACCTGATTAAAGACCAGACAGAGGGACCCAGGAAGGGAGCAGGGGAGACAATAAAAGCTTTTCTGACATGGATGTGAGAGAGCCCTGAGCGACTACAGCTACCTTCATTCCAACGACAGCTTCGCTTCCGTGTATAGCCTTACAGACCCTGCTGCTTTGTAGCATGTCCCCTGCACTATCTGCCCTTTGTGACTTATGGTGGAAGAGAAAAGAAAATAACCAGAGCAACAGGCAGAGTTAGATGTGGGATAAATGTGTCCCAGCTTGTGCATCTAATAAGCTGCCCGTTAAATGTGCATTTTATTTGATTGTGCAATTTAGGAGGATACAGCAAAACAGCTCACACAGGCATCCTCAATTAAGCACCAGGGTATTATGCTTCCCCTTAATAATCCTTCTCAGACTCCTGAAATACAATGGGGGGGGGTGTGTGTGTGTAATCCTAGTGTCTCCCCAAGGACACACAATTTTCTCCGGTGAATATTAGCCCTTTCTTGTCTTATAATTGCTCTGCATCAGAAATACTCTACATTGCCGTGGTAGAAGATGGTCCTAATGATTTGAAGTTAATTTCTAAATGTGGAGGGACTGGCATTAGTTACAATATATCATTTCTGCAAACATGCAATTGTACAGCCCTGGAACAGGGCTACCGAGCTGGTTTCCTACTATATGTTCAACACTATTCATACTGCAGATTCGCTTTTTCTCACGTGAAGTGTTCATCAAACTGTCCTCAAGTCAAGATAGCATTAGACTGGTTTCATTCCCCCCGTGTTATACACACTTCCTCACTTCTAATTTTGTTTTACAACCCATGTGAAAATGCAAGTGATGGGTACAAAATGCCAAAGCACCTTTGATTTAAGAACTGAGGAACCTAAATCTAAATCCTGCTTTCAAATGATTCCTAAGCACATAATTAATGTTTGAAAATAGGACTTGCAGATTTTGAAAATTCAAAGCACTGTTTTTTTGTGTAGCCAGGCTGTTTCTCTGAGATTTAACATAGTCCCTTAATAAAAGGTATGATTTTCACTGGGGAAATGTCATCAGAAAAAATCAGGAATATCCTTCACTTTTGCACTACAGTAGTGGCTCTTCAAGCTTTTCCAATTGACATTGTTACTTAGTGAAAAGTATCTGTAGTTTGATAACCTTAGTATTTGCAGTATTAAAGGTAGTGCCTTTAGCTTGTACCTGGACAAGGGAATATTGCAGATATTGAGATAATCTTATATATTTATCTTAGGTAAACCACAGCAAGCTTTCAAGAGCTACCACTATACTTCTCTGTCAAGGACTTCAAAGGAGCTTGTAAAAACTAAAATGCAGAATACCCTGGGGAGAAATAGCATCTCTTGGAGAAAAATGTCACTTTGTAGATAGTTGAAGCCATGATTTAGCCCAATTTTTAGGGAGGAATACTAGGAGGTCTGAAGAGGTGGAGGAATTTGCCGAAGGTCAGTTAGCAAGTCAGTGGCAGAGCTGGAGCACAGATACGCTGACTCAATGGGGAACGCCCCTTAACTTCAAGGATTACATACAACGCTTTAAGTCTCTAAGAGTTCATTGTGGGAGAAATCCTGGGCTTCTGAAGTCAAAGGGAACCTTGACTTTAACTTCAGGAAAGCAGGATTTCACCCACAGAAATTAAAATCAAGTATGGTTCTGCTGATGAAGGCGTGGGGCCCTGGCTGCTCTGTGGCTAAAATCACACATGGCTTTAGGACTGCATTGCTGCATGTTGTAGTGCCTATCTTTTACGTGCCTGGCATGCTTCTATGCAATGGACAGAGCCCTGTAGATGCATACTAGGCATACCCTGAACATGTCTAATGGTGATGTCGGCTGGGACACGCTTAGTTTATCCAGGCCCCGGGGTTTAGACATGAGATAGGTGTTGAACTGCTCAGCACCAGTGGAGACATTTCCAGCATTTGTAGAATCAGGATGTTGAGAGAACATTACTAGTGAAAAGCTAGAGGAGAAGTGGAGGCTGTCAGGACTGCACTTTTGGATTTAGGCATCTAAATGCTTTAGGTTTTATTTTTGGTGCCTGAGTTCCTTTGTAGCTCTAGCCCTTCTTACCTGCGCCAAAATCCTTATGAAGCCAATAAGAGTCTGTGCCTTCGATTCTTGCATTTGCAAAATGGCAATAATGGAGGTGAACATTCACACTTGTAAAACACAGATTTGGATGGCACTAAGGTAGTGCAAAACTACTGCAAATGAATGCAGAACTATGGTCTGCTGTTGAAGTCAGACATACTCTCAGACCAGTCAGTGAAAGGCTGCTGAGTCAAAAGGGCAGCAAGCCAACTATTTTCCATTTCCCCCCCTCCCCGAAACAAAACACAATACAATTATTTTGCATTACAGCAGCACAATTATGATTACAAAAGCCAAGTGTATTCAGCCAGCAAACAAAACCTGTGCAATGGCTTGTTTTAATCATTACATTCATTACAATCATATTTCTCTTTAGAGTTCCCCTCGTTTTCCAGCATATCAAAGAAACATGTTTTTAGCACTCGTTCATTCCTGTATTGTTTGCCTCCTCCATCAGCTTTGCCCTAATAGAGTGGATGAGAAGCCACAGACATGTTTTCGAAATGCCCTTTGGGGTTCAGAGCCCTGAATAGATTGTAGAACTACTAAAGTAAAATTGGCCCCAAAGAAGCAATTTATAAATAAAAGGAACTTATTTTTAATCACAGACCATGCTGTTTAGAGACCAAAGAAGAAAGAAAGCCTAGAGAAAGGTAGAGAAAAGAATGAAGGTTGTCAAAGAAACCCATGATACTTTCTAAATAGACTGGAGTGGGTTGTGAAGATTCAAAGCTGAATCTTCCACAGTAGCCGGGTGGGAGGGAAGCTGAGCTGGGGGGGGGGTGTGACCAGGCC